ACCGGCGGAAATGCAATCATCATGTACACGAGAAATACCGAAGAATGATATACTATCACTGTTAATGCAAGATCAAGAGAAAGAACAACCGGAGCCTATACAAAAAGGTTCATTAGGTCAGAAGCATATAGTCTGCATTTTTCTCGACATATCATGCATTAGCTGCATAATGTTTTAGATAATGAGTTTCTCTCAGATAGTCACGGAGGGAGAGCTAAGCGGCACATTGCAACACAAAAGAATCAGTATTGGCAGTTGCTTCAACAGGCTTACAATGAGCGAAATACAATTATCGTTTTAGAACGTCAACGAGAGAGCGGTCTCGTCGCATATTATCTAACAGAATATACTTATTTTAAAGAACCATCATCTTCTTTCCTATCATATTACTTACTAACGACAAATTCAAGCATGCATGGAAGAAGTATAATGTTTGATGGCAGTCCTCATTTAACGCTAATAGATGGTGAAAGTCCAACATCGTACTCTACTGAACAGAAAGATGGAAAAAGAGGAATAACAGTTACGTTGAATAACGCAAAGAGGTTACTAAATAATTTCAAAATGAACGAAACTTTATCGATGCAGATCAGTCTGATTATATTCAATGTTTGCGCAAGTCGTAATGTGTCCAAGAAAAATAGATTCTTCTTAGATAGCCTCTCAAAAAGTGATCGGGACTACTCTTAGGTAGACCTTAAAAAGTTATAGAGAACATTTGACTTCATTTTTCCAAAGTTTTATTATTTTTTGGCAGAGCTAGGATGAAAGTATTTGTAATTGTACTTTAAGAAAAGTACTTGATACTTATACTTGTACGTCGAGATAAATACTTTTGTACTTAAAGCCCTACCCTATGGGGTAGCCCATGAGGAGCTACGGGTACCCCGTAAGGTAGCCCTTGAGGCCCCATAGGTACCCCTATAGGGTAAGGGTTCAAGTACAAAAGTATTTATGTCGAAGTACAAGTATAGGTACCAAGTACTGTTCTTAAAGTATAAGTGTAAGGGTATGGGTGCAAATCAGCGAAAGGCATTTCAGCAAAGAATTTTCAGCAAATAGAAAACAGCGAAAACAAATTTAGCGAAAGGATTTTGGAGCTGAGGGTAAGGGTGCAGAGTGAGGGTGCAGAGTGAGGGTGAAGGCGAAATGTGCTTTCGCTATTGTGTTTCGCTGAAAAAGTCGTTCGCGTAACTGTTTTTTCGCTCAATGGACACCATATCATTGAACCGTATCACAATGGTGCAACGCTCATGTACCTCTATTTCCATATCTGATCACAAGATTTGTCTACTGCATAGTTTACACGACAATTCTTCCTCTGTTTACTTCGGTTTAATTAATGAATCAAGCGCTGATTCCACTACTAGGTGCGAGAGTTATTAAGTATGTCCTTATAGTCTTGTGTAAAATATACTTCACATTTAATTTGTTAACATCTTGCTCTTGGTATATATTTCGTGCACGGTAGCATTTCATTCATTCTATCGTATCTTCGTGTTCCAGTCACATTATCCTCGTTCTAACTGTGATTTTTTTCTCGCTTTCGTTCGTTCTTCCTTTTCTTTAACACACTTTCACTTGTGTACAAACGCTTACTATCTTTGTATTATGTTTTCTCCACAAAATTGAATGGAGTTGTTCTCAATGTCAGTCTGCCACGACTGATCGTCGAAAATATTGTACCAATTGTCACTCTATGTTAACTTGGACATGTACTGGTTCAGAAAAATCTGGTTTGTACACTCATTATTATCGTCATCGTGACAAGTGTAGTTATTGTACACCAGAACTTGAAGAAGAAAAACAACAGAAAATGGAAGAGAAGCAACAACAGTTTCAAGCTTTGGATGATAGTAAGTAACGTTACTCTTCTTAGTTTACACATGCACCTCTCATTCTATTCATA